GTAGAACATACGGTTGACAGTGGAAACTCGGTGACTGCGCCTACCTGATGAGCCCGAACTGGTAGGACGAAACCGGTCGTGGGTTGTCGAAGAGTTTTCAGCAACCTTGTGAGTAGTTTCCTTTATGAAAATACACTGCGATATCTCGAATATCGTGCCAACTGAAACATGGGGTGGCCTGTGTGCAGAACAATCAGTTGTAAAGTATCATAAACGAGAGATTCAGTTGAGTCTCTCGTGAAAACCAAATTGATTTGCAGATGAGTGTATTTCTCGAAGGTTGGATATCCTTCTGGACTTGATGAGGCTGCCTCACAGAACTAGCGACAAGTGCTGATTAGGCATCTAAATGTGTTGTCAAGTGACAGTTTCTGAGTCCCTGAACCCCAGAAATTGAACGATTGTGGTTGCCAATGTGGGTCCACATGTGCGTTGGTAGTATGAATGCCACTCACATGCTCTTCACAACGTGCTGGCTAGTCGAAATAGACAGAAAATAGATCTGATAACGGAATACCCTTGGAGAATAGGATCGATCCGCGGTGCTCGAACGCTTCAGCTCGTCAGACCCTATAGTTCCACGAGACAGCGTAAAGTGTACCGCCGAGGCAACAAGAGGTAACTCAAAGTGTTTGGAAGCACGAGGGCTGGGATACTGTCAGGTTGCCCAAGTCTAGACAAGGGAAGCCGAGAGGCAGATGTCGGGTTCGAACCACGAACCTTCCGATCAGTAAATTCGCGCTCTAACCACTTGAGCCATCTCGCCACTTGACCGGAATGCTAGGCGACCGACAATCACCTTTGTCAAGAAAATGACCTACTGTTTGAACAACGCTGACAAAGAAACGAAACACAAGGGTGTCCACAACTGAGACATTTTGACGTCACCAGAAGCCACCCAAACTGGTGTCATATGTGGATGTCGGTGAGTGACAGGAAATTGTAAGATTGTCACCCGCGACTGGACGGTCGAGCATGGATTTCGACGGTGTGGTTAGGCCGGACAGTGCGTCTCGGCCAGTACGGAATTTCTCGAGTTCGCTTTCGTTCCGAGACAGCTGTTTCAGCAGAAGCGGAGTGTCTGTTGTGTCCCTGAGTTTGTGGTTCCTAAACCTCGAGTTATGTCAACATACTTGGTACGACCCAGCCTAGGGGTCACTGTGAAGGATGAGTCCCAAGAACGAAACCCATCGAAGGGTTTTAAACATACTCATGAGTAGTATATTATCACAGGCATATCATTTGGTAGCGATATCATTCAGCTATTGTTAGGCGGAATTCCACACGGATCCCTCCTTACCACTCGCACTCAGGGTACTGCTAAGGTCGAGAAGTCCATCCCACGCAAGATTGGTCAAGAATTCGGGACGCTTACCGGTCCAGCATCAAGACGAGATCCGATTGGTCGAAAGTCTGAACCCAACAGCCAATCATGACCCAGTATTGACCAAATGCCGGTTGCAAATGGCGCATCCGTCAGAAATTCCGCCTAAGCTATATATACGAAGCGCTATACAACTGTTCCTGACTTCGTTTGGGGCGTTAATATACCTCGTGCATCTTTGGTGGTTGTTTTTGACGTGAACGCTAGCTTGGGAGGCTCAGACCGAGAACTAAGCTGAGAGAAATACCGTTACTACAGCTGTAGCACTCTTTCGGTGCTTAGCCGCCGTGCCACCCGAAGGAAACAAGAGGGCTGGGATACTCCGAGGTTGCCCAAGCCTAGGCAGAAGTCGAGATGCGGAGGTCGGGTTCGAACCACTGAGCCATCTCACCCCTCGGCGACATCCGATCAAATCGACCCGTTTGGGACTGAATGTCTCAGAGCGAGAAATGGTGTCGTGGATGTTTGATACAATGCCTATATGCTAGATTCATCCCGATCATTTGACACAGCGGCGATGAATCGACATCGCTACATGAATTGTTCTTCAGTAGTCAATCTGGATTCAGGTAGACGAGCAGCAGCTCTGAAACCGTCCATAACCGTACAACCAATTTGCCAACTAAGCGGATATTCATACCATCGAACCAAAACTGTCACCTGATAGGGAAAAAATTCGACCTTTTGGAATAGTCCCGTGGAACATTTGAGGATCGAAGTCATCACTCGACAAAAAAGGAACTGAGTGGTTCCTTTTCCAGATGGTCAACCTGTATATTGTAGTCCAATGAAGGCCACAAATTCATCTACATGAGCAGCTTCAAGGCATCACTAGTAAGATGCTGCCACACAGTGCGGAAAATGCAGTTATCGAATGTGCGGACGGAGCGCACAATCCGATGATATGGTCTTCCGAAACAGTTCTTATCGGGTATCTGACCCATGGTTGGTTTGGAATTCCGTCGCTCGAGCCCACCAGCCCCAGCTGCTGATGACAGGTTAGTACATGCATCAGTCCGCTGAAGACCGACGGGGGTCGAGGTAGCCAAGTCGCCAACCAAGGCGAGTGGTCTCAAAAGCTCCACATGCCAAGCTATGTGTTAGTCGATCAATACACTCACCTCTAAGGATAGGCGTAAGATTGGGCTGGTCATGCAAGGCTATGGTCACTAGGCTGCAATCAGCCTTTAGCAGTCAATCAGTCATGCTCAAGCTACTTTGAAGAACTTCACGAACGGCTCAGTGAGTACGAACTTGGAGCCGCTCCACAAGCCTCCCAACCGACTGAGATGAAATTTGGAGTGTAAAACCAGAATCCGCAAGATGTCACGAAAACCCAGGCACCAAAATTTGGGTGCAAAGAGATAGACCAATTGGCGAGAGCGCCTGATAGTTGTCTGGGCTCAACTGTAATTTCCAACCAATCAAAGCACCGCTTACCGGAACCGGTCAGTCTGAACAAGTGGCAGCTGACTAAGTCCAATGGCAAAGATCGGGAATCCTGTCAGAGTTGTTTGCATTAAGTCAAAGTGAAATGTAACCATGGTAACACCCTTTTCAGGACTATACAGAAGAGGAACACCAAGTAAACTAGTCAGAAGTGATCTAATCCCTTCCGGGATACAACGGACTGTTCAACAGTCTTACTCTGGCGATGTGAATGCAATTCGAGCAAAGAATGAATCAAAGGCAAGTCAAACTAAAAATGAAGGAAGCCCCATGAGCTGAGAGAGAGTGAATATTCGCAAAAGAAAAATGTTTGATGAAGCAACCGTTCACTTGCTTCGGTTGTGGATAGAGCCTGCACTGACCTTTAGCACGGTTATTCGCAAGTACACTAACAACAAAAGTTCAAAAGTTGTACGAATACACTCGTTTGCATATAAATTTGGTTTTTGTCGAAATCTGTTCAATTTGCGTTCAATAAGAACCTCGGGGACTGCGCCTACCCGATGAGCCCCAAGAGGGGCGGAACCGGTCGTGGGTTGTTTTCAGCGACCCTGTGAGTAGTATATCACGTCCGCACAATTTGTGTTTACAACCTTTGTTTGAACAGTCCTCTCTCTACACTAGCGCGATTATTTGGATCAAACCTGAAAGCCCGAATTCATACTCGTAACCGTAACGAGGGATTTGAACCCCGGGCTTTTGACATGCGAGGGGACCGTGTACTTCTAATTCACCAGCGGACACTGAGCACTCTTTGAACACGCGAGACGTCTAGACGCGGAGCTCAAATCATGAAATACCAAAAGTGAGTATTATTGATGAGCTGTTCTGGGAGCAAAACACGGATCCAGTGCTTGTCTACTTCGGTCTGGACCAACCGGTCAAATACAAAGCTCACGTCTACCTACAGCTAGGCGCATTTGTACACTGTAACACAGATGACCGGACTTACCGAGGTCCCGATACTTTCGTTCAAAAATGAACGGGCTGGCAAGCTGAAAGAAAAAGAAACGCAAGTAGCTTGAATCGAATAAAAAACAAGCGGAATTCACATGACCAACCCTCATTCAGAAGGAGCATCGCCGAGTCCTCAAAGTAAAACAATACCAGGATCGTTAACAAACTCCGGAGGTCCTTCTACGCCCTCAAAATCCGAAACCTGTTGAACTACTCCACTATTCTTCAATAGTTCATGTACTCAGGTGTTCAACAAACGGCCAACGAATGTTGCGAACGAAAAGTAAGTTGGAACGAAGTTCGACTGATGAAAGATTGTGGGAAGGATGTCTCATATGTGTCTTTTTTGCCTTCAAAACAAGCTCGTCCCCACCCCCGCTTTGTCTGAGTGGTGCTGGGGCAGTTGATACTTATATAAACCCGTGGATTGAACCTCATTGCGCATCGTGGAATATATGCTTTCCGTCCGTTACGAACACGCCTTATTTACCTAGATGGCTTTTCAAATGTTTCCAAATAGTTTCTGAACTATCAAAGAACAACCCCAAGTCATAGCATAGTCGGGTAATTTTTATCGATTGATCGACTTTCTGGATGCTGCCCCTGAGGGTTGCCCTACCCATGGGTGACAATCAATTGGCGGCGAGAACGGACAGACAGATCAACTGGAATATTTAAAAGTCAGTCATCGACCACATGAGCTAGTGTTGAGGATGATCACGACTAGAAAATTCACGTACCCGGCTTGTATTCGTCCAAGCCGATCCCCCAACTGAGCCAAACGGGACCATGCAGAACGCAGTTGCTGACAGACAAATGAGTGCTCGTAGTCCTCTCGGAGGCTGACTCGCCGATCTTCAAGCGAAGGTTTCTTCCAGTGTTTGGCCCCTTGAGACAAGAGAAGTAGCACGCGTGTACACTCTGAACTGTGTTCCAAGCCAGTTTCCAACTCCATCAATCGACGTCCCGCGTTCTGACGGCCGGAGAGGAGACAAATAGGCATCACAAGGAATTCGCGCGTTAGAACAGCAGTAAAGTGTCCCACACTATGGGAAAAAACTTTTTTTGAATGAATAGCTCGCAAAACGAAGCAATCCTGGTGACTTCACGCATTATGATTAAGGTGTTACCCGAAAAAATAATGATCGTTCAGCTGTAGCACCGTTTCGGTGCCTAACTGCCATGCCACCCGAAGGAAGCACGAGGGCTGGGATACTGTCAGGTTTCCGAAGCCTAGACAGGGGAAATCGAGAGGCAGAGGTCGGCTTCGAACCACGGACCTTCTGGTCAGTAAATTCGCGCTCTAACCACTTGAGCCATCTCGCCCAGGTGTTACCTGTCGATTAGAAAACCTATCCATGAAAAAGAGTCAAGAAAACAACTTCTGCGAGCCAGTTTATCGCAAGAAATACTTCAACTGTCGAACGAGAAACACCATAATTCCACAGAGACCGAAACAAAATCACAAGGATAGAGACAGATTAAGTGACCAATCGTTTGAGGATACACGTGCACAACACCAGTGTGACTTCCCCAGTGGCTACTCCCCGGAATTGTTTGTCTCTTCCAGAAAAAATCAAACGTCTGCAACTTAGGAAAGCAGGGCAAGGACTGCGTACACATACGTTAAACGTGGTGTTCGTTATTTGAGAACTTGTAGAATTCACATAAATATCGCTTGGGTGTTCCGGTGAGTTCACACCAAGAAAGGAGAGAAGCACAGGACTCGAGTTTCGTTCGTCAGTGGTGCATATTCTTCGCCATGCCAGGGTTCGGACTCCGGACATCTGACATGCGAGGCGACGTTGTTACCACTACTCCACCAGTGCGAGGAGAGCCCCCGAATTATCACGTCTGAACAAACGATGGTGTTCACGCTTCAACGCTGCGATTGGTTTGTATGACGCCTCGAACGACAATCCAGTAACTGTCCTGGTTGTGTCGACCGAGTGACCTACCTGTCAAAACGTCCTATTCAGGTGGCGCCATGGACGCTCGAAATCTGCAAGTTCCAGCATAACTCAATAGTTTTTTCGTGCAATACTGGCGGCACACTGAATTATTGGTCTTGCTTACTTTTTCAACTTATTCAGCGGCCTTATATTTGTCGAAAAATGAAGTTTTTTGTTTCACTCTGGTTTGCTTTGGGCCCGATTTCAGTTAGATGATACTCCGAAGTGCAAAACGATGTCAGTATTTCTCATGAAGTATTTTTTACAAAGAAAGCGTGCGTTTCTCGATAAATCCACACATTTACACGCCAATTTGGTTTTGACAAGAGATTCAACTGAATGTGTTTCACCAGACCGTCTCACGTTTCAGTTGGTGCGATAGTTAGGATATCGTAATACACTGCATAGACATACCATACTACTCATAAGGTTACTGAAAACTCTTCGGCAGCTCACGAACGACTTCGCCCTTCTTAGCGCTCCTCAGGTAGGCGAAGTCCTCGAGTTTCCGTCAACGGTACGTCCCACTTGAACCCGATATGGGTTTGTGGGTCGTGGCTCCCATAAGCCTTATGAGTAGTGTGTTACGAAAAACACGGTTCCTGTGGGGGGGCACCGTTTCTGACACTTTGACCGAGATATGTCCCATAGGATTTGCAAGCTGACAGGAATTGGACCATTGGGAATATCCATAAGGATACCACGAAGAAGGCTCTTTATTTTATAAAATCTGTCGAAGAATGTTGTTGCGGGCTTTCTAGCGGCCTTTCAGAAAAACCCTTCTAGGGCAGCAGAACTTTTGCACTCAAAGTGGATAATTATGTTTTGCTACTGATACACTTCGGTAGTAGTATATATTCGTGAAGCAATTACTGAATGCGTCTCAGGGAAAGCATGGCGTAGGTGGTTTGAGGATGACTCGCTTTTGTTACGAAACGCTCCTTCGACTTAGGGGACTCACTTTTATGTGCTGAGCCAAAAGTCCTTGAGTAGTGGAGTGCAGGCCGGATTGACCACTTCGGTCTGCATCTGCCCGTACTTCCAAAATGGCGACTGCCTCAGCGAGTTCTCCAAGATGTAGACCAGTCAAATTGGGTAGGGCCGAACGAAGTTGCTTTTGTGTGTCAACAAGCTCTCTGACATGGTCCGACCTACCGAATTGAACACACAAAAGAGCGAACTGAATGAAAATAGCATTCAAAGCATTTTTCTGGTTCGTATGTGGGGACGAGCAGGTGGTCTTTAGTAACATCTGAATTGGCTGCGATCCGACTACCTGGCTTCCTATCATGTCCACATGCTTCGAGGAGATATACGCACATGCACCAAGGATTTGGACCACGTCTCGTCAAGGACACGTGTATCAGATAAGTAAGCATAGGTTACGTGTTAGAAAAGATACAGGGTAGAAATTGTGAGTCGTTATGCAAGAAATTTAGTGTTACCACAAGCGATTTTTTGGATGGATGACAAACAAACATCTCATTGGTATTTCGGGGACAACATGTCAATGATTAGGAGACAATCGTCGGCAGGGGGTAACAAGATTCGTGAAAAATGATCGAGCTGAGTTACCTACTATGTTTTCTGAGCAGTTTCATCTCTAAGTCGCCCGTTCCAACGAAAACTTTGGTAAATACAGAATGCTCCTTATGGAGAAGTGTCCTTATTAGGGAGGAACGCTAAGGGGTGTATAGCTGTATCAATGGTCTGCTGCCTTTCATTTTAGTTAACTGAGAACAGGAGGAGGAACAGATTTCCAAAAAACTTACAAAGCACGAACAAGATCGTGTAGTTTCTCGGACCAATCCCTCAGTCCTTTCGCGTACTCGCCAATTTGAGCACGATCAAGCAGTGAGGAGGCAATCTGCCGCATCAAATCTGCCACATAGGCGGATGTTCCATCATCCTCCGGGTATTGTTCCACACGACCCAACTCTCTGAGATGTAGCGGATAGGTTATGGGCTTTTCAGAGATACAGCTCCTCACCTCTTCACAGTACTGGTCCAAGAAGGTCAGTTGGGGAGGGAGCTGACGGATAAAAATGGGAAAAGGGAAATTGTCAAAAACAAGAGATGAGTTGGTTACTTGGGAACGTTATTTTCTGGTTGCTAGCACAGTTCACAACTGGTGTGGATGAAGCTAGCTTGCGAATGTCTTGCGGTATTTTCCAATGATGGTACTGGACGCATTCCAATCTATTGGTCATCTTGCCCCAAAGGCAAGGTGCTGAGAATACCTAGCTTTCTCAGATCACTTCAAAACGTCTTGTCAGAGCGTTTAAAACTATTTCGAAAGTACTTTGCCTGAAAACATCACAAACGAGAGATTCGGCTGGGTTCCAGGTGAGTGCCTCGAAAAACCAAATTCGTTTGCAAATGAGTGTATATTCGCTAATTTCGTGCAATTTGGTTTCAAGCAGAACATAAGGTTGACGGAAACTCGGGGATCGCGCCCACCTGATGAGCCCCAAAAAGGGCGAGACGAGTCGTGGGCTGTCGGTGGACTTTCAGCAACCTTATGAGTAGTACAGTACAAAGATACTTTGAAAGCGGTTCATTATATACAGCATAGCAAGAAAAACACGGTGGGTCCCTCGAATCCGTTTAGCTGTAACGCATTTTCGGTGCCTAATTGGCGTGCCACTGAAAGGAAGTATGTCAAGCTTTCTGAGCAATAGGCGTACTCTCCAGGCATCATCTTTGTGCTTCAGTTCGACTTGGAAAATATCTTCGTAACGTCCGAAACACAAATCGAAGGTTAGGCTGGGATCAGGGTCATAATGGAACTCCGTGATGCTGTTGGAGATCGAGTCGACTGAATTTGTATCTGGAGCGGAATTTGGTGGTTGAATTTCAAGTTACTGCGTCAATGTTTCCACCAAACGTAATTGCGCCGCTTCAAACTGGTTTTGTTGTTGCAGAAGAATTTCTTTCAACGCTTCAGCAGTTATTGTCATGATTCTATGGGTTCGGGTGTCGCCAATCTGTTATATCTGCTGATTCGTTAATCTGCGGTATCTGCTGCTGACCCGCTCCAGTGCCTAGTGTCAGAGAGAAAAGACTCACGGAAGGGAACACAATAGCTATATTCCAAAAGGTTAGTTACGAGAGCGCGAGTGCGTGCGAGTGCAAAAGCACAACGGTCTCAAGTTATTTACTGGAGGGACGCTGTCTGAACTTAGTCGAATGCTGACGCACGCGTCTAGCTTTGGTACGAGGCTGCGATGCGCTGCATATTGAGGGGCGTTGTGTCCGTCTGGTCAGCATCTAGCGGAGCTGAGGGTCTCAGTAAATTTCAGGCATTCAGTGGTTGCTTTCAGGAAGCTGGCCTTCCTGATAAAGGGTGAAATACTTCGAGATCGTTCAGGCCTAGACAGGAGCAGTCGAGATGCCGAGGTCGGGTTCGAACCCTGGACCTTGGGGTCAGTAAATTCGCGCTCTAACAACTGAGTCATCTTGAGCCAATCCTCCCTCACGGAACGCTAACACTTTACTATCCCCAACGGCGAGATGCATTTGCATACATGAAGGCGCCAACCAACAAAGTAGAACGAACAGAAAGGTAACTTTGTCGCCTGATCAGAATCACGAGAACCGGATGCATTACTTCGAGATGTACTGTGCAAATCAGTATGGATTCACGGGTAGACATGATTTGGGTCCCTGTGTCACAGCAACAAGTACCAACGTCCATTAGAGCGTAACACAGAGTAATACGTCTTTTGAGCAATCGCGTAGCTGACCTCAGAGAAAGTCCGAAATCAAATTACAAATCCACATTGTCTGCTCCGGCTGTAAACTGATCACACATCAGTTCGAAATATTCCTTTCGGGTGCTGCTGCGCAGTCAGAACCGGAAAATTTAGTCTGTTCTTGAAGCCAAGCTGAGCATCCAGTTCTGTGTGCATGCTTTGAAGCATGGATTTAGCCGCGGTGAATTGGTCACATGACATTACTACATTCCTAAATCGGGACTATGGTTAATGTTATCCTATCCACAGAAACCGCAGTAAATCGATGATAAAAGGAACAGGTAGTCTCCTTACTCGGACGAAGCGCACTATCAGGAAGGCCAGATTCCTGAAAGCAACCACTGAATGCCCGAAATCTACTGAGACCCTCAGCTCCGCTAGACGCTGACCGGGTAGACAATGCCCCCTCAATATGCAGCGCATCATAGCCTTGTATCAAATCCAGACAGCGCCAGTCAGCGTTGGTCAAGGTCGGACAGTGTCCCTCCAATAAAACAGCTTGAAACCGTTGTATTGCACTCACGCTCTCGCACTCGCTTGTTCGGAATATAGCTGTTGTGTTCCCTTCTGTGAGTCTTTTCTCTCGGCAACTAGGCACTGGAGCGGGTCAGCAGCAGATTACACAGATTGACGAATCAGCGGATATAACACGCACCCAGACTATGGTGAGAAAGAATGGGTAACGCACTATAGAACGGTATCTAGTACACCCAAGAATCTTGTAAAAGTGACGGCGTTCATGAAATACGGTATGGGGATTGTAAGGCCAAGTAGATGGTCTGACTCAGCCTGCAAATGCGCGCATGAACCACAGAACACCAAAAACATGTGCGTTTTTCGCGAATACACACTAATTTGCAAACTAATTTGGTTTTTCGAGAGACTCACCTGGAACCCATCTGAATCTTTCGTTTATGATGCTCTCATGCAACTGAATGTGCTGCACCAGGCCGCCTCATGTTTCAGTCGCTAGATATTCGAGATATCGCGATACATGTATATCTCTGTACTGTACTGCCCATAAGGTTGTCAACGGATTTTCAGCAACCTTATGAGTAGTGCATTGCAAAGATAGCTCNGCCCTCCTTGGGTCTCGTCAGGTAGGCGCAGTCCCCGGGTTCCCGTCAACCTTATGTTCTAGTTGAAACCGAATTGCACTAAATTGTACGTTTTTCTGCTCAAAATTCCACCCAACTCCAAATATTAGAAAGAAAATACTAGAAACCCATAAAAAATCTTAGATACTAGGAAAAAAATAGTAATAGTAGCAAAAAACATGTTAGAAAAAGATTAGAGGGCCTCAATTCATACTCTGAAGGGGAGCCATAAAGTACTTTATGCCCAAAACAATCTACATCACAACACGCTACCGCGGAATTCGGAACATCGCCGTGTCTAAACTCTAACAAACTCTAATGCTCAAAGTAACAGCCAGAAACTATCTGCTGTCTGGACAGGACCATTCTACACTGGAAAACAGAATCAAACAAGTTCGATTCTTTCAGCCTCAAAACAAACCCTACGCCCAAACATGGCATTGACCAATCAGAATGAAGTATAGAATGGTGGGTGTTTCAGTGTTGAGACCAAGTAAGAGGCGGTTCGTTGTCTCCCAGATGACGAAAACGCTGGTCAATAGAATTCCGTTCAAAGATGTGCTCATACGCGAAATGCGACACGAACTCACACTGCTGAACTCACGGCATTCGTGAGCCAGTATGGTCAAACTACTATCTTAATCGACGAGTAGTGGGATTTTGGAAGCCCTACGGCAAAAATTTCAGGGCCGTCATTCGATCGGTAAGGTCATCGTCAGCCTATAGGAAAACCGCACGCTCGATTACACTACATGAACGCTTCCGACGGTCTCAGTTCCTTCTCTTGGGTTATCGTATTCATCATTAATCACGCTGGGTTGTACCAGTTTTAAGTTCCGTTACAACGATGAACGTTAAATTTCTCCACAGATCTTTTTACATACCGAAATGTCGTAGAGACCCAAAAGCCCCAGGGCAGCTTCTTTCCCCTGATTTCATCAACGGCCTTCGAAGCCGCTGAGAATTTATATAGGTCCTGGGTTTCAAAAACGCCCGAGATCATGAATCCGAGAAAGTACTGCTGATATGAACAGAAAATAGGGGTCAGCAACCTGGCAGTATCGTGGCCCCCGTGCCTCCATCGGGTGGCGTGGCAACTAGGCACCGAAAAGGGGCTACAGCTGAACGATGGGATTTCTGGAAGTGCTGGTGATCACAGTAGTAGAATATCAGGCTGTGGAGAGTAGCACTGCACCGAAAAATGAGATGGGACAGAGCAATAAGAGGCCTTCACAAGCGTCGGATCGATCCCTGCCTTTAAGATGAGCTCCTATATCTAAGTGATCCTCGCTTGGATCGATGAGCCAAGACAGACGAAGGTAGTGGAATGCCTCCGCTCCCGTCCAATGTGATGGCGGATGGCTTTCTTTTTTGGGCCCAACAGTACTTCAGTTCCGTTCGGCACGACACACTCGGATGCGCAAGCGACCGAGGGGAACTTTCGAGCAGATCTACTAGAACTGGTGACCGACTTGTTCCACCTCAACCCTGACCTTCAAAACTGTCGGATCCTCGAGTATATGAACAACTGCCTTGCATGAAGAGATAGTAAACTAACCTGTGCAATGCAAGCATCATTTGGAAGTCTCAACAACAACGCGTAAGTTGCAGAGGGGTGTTCCGGTTGCCGGACATCCAAGAATCGTCTGAGTTGATGTACAACCAGGTCAAGACAATTGTCCACCTGAAGTAGAGAATAGTTCAGCCGCTGGTGTCTTCGAACAGGAGCGGAAACAAGAAATTCGTGGTAGTGTAGACGATTGAACAAAATGTGGCGGATCAATTGAATCTGCTTGGAAGACAGACGTTCCGAGAAGTTCCGAGCTTGTGGAGTCTGATCTGGCTGTCGTTTCTTAGCAGTAGAGTTTACGGCAGACAAGAGGTTGTCCAGCTGGGCTTCCAGGACATCCAGTTTTACGAGGTTCATCTAGAAAGTTCGGGAAGGATAAACAGAAGGGTACAAATTTTGAGACTGGAAGCTTTATCACCGCAGCATGCTACTCTCAAAAGTTTTTTATGGTCGAAACCCAAAGTGAACACATCTCAGTTTAAGGACAACAATGACGGTACCACGCACCTCCAACACAGCCGGTTGGAGCTCATCAGCTCCAACGATTTCCTCGAACAAGGCGTTGAGAGCTTGATAGCAGTGAAGCGAGTTTTCCACAAGACCAATTCTCTGACCTAATTGTTTGATCTTTGATGAAGACACTGTCCCGACTTGGTTTTGGTGTCCAGAGTTGTCGGGGTGCCCCTAGAAGGTGAAGACAAAAAGGTTATTAATCTCGTTAAAATTCTTTGGTCAATAGAATATTGTCTTTTGCAATGAGGAATTGATAGCCGGATGGGAATAGGTCTACAATTTGGTCGTTTAAGTGAGTTAGAAATGCCAAGACTCGCACCGAAGCAACCGTTCGGTCGCTGTGTTTTTGACCACATTCAGTTGACGATAGTGCAACTCTGTATCGGTCACTTGGCTTCCTGCTCCGCCCACTATGTTATATCAAAAGGCACGGTAAATCTCCCTTTATGGAGACAAAGGAAAATTATTACAACTGTATTTATAGGGTAGTCACAGAGTGTTCCACAAGGTCGTGGCAGAATGTCCGTGAGGGGGCGAGAACCGTCGAGTCAAAGTGCTTGACTCGGATTGGCTGGCATTCTGACCAACCAGGGCATGCCTACGTCTGGCCCGTGTCCTGCACGTGACACATGCGTCCAAATGACGTGATGTTCGGTTATAAGGGACGGCTGGCCCCCGAACACAGCGTGACAGTGTGACACAGGATTCAGCATGATCATGTACAAACGATTTAAAACAGATAGGTTGATAGACCACTTCTGAACAGTGCGCAGTACCTTCCGGGATGTAAGGACGAATTGGCATCAAACTGAATGGGTTATCGCGTCATAGTATGAACGATACCATTCAAAGGACTGCTAGTAACCCGGTAGTATCAACTGTAAGAAATTTTTTCGAGCGAAGGACAACCCTGACTTGCCAGCCCGAAAGTCAGGAACCAAGACTGATGAGGACTGTAATTCATTCACGATCACAACAATCGTTTGAACGTCCTCCTGTTCTGGCGTAGGTATTCCGGCGAGTCCACACCGAAATGGAGCACCAGCGGTACATACTCAATGGCCGTGCCGGGATTTGAACCCCGGACATCTGACATGCGAGTCGAGCGTGTAACCACTAACCCACCAACTCACGTTGGATGCATCTGAATTTTCACGTCTGAACAGCTGAACGTGTTCACACTTGAGCGATGTGATTGATGTGCCCGACTCATCGAACGACGACCCAGTAACTGTTCTGGTTGTGACGATCGATTGGCCCGCTTGTCAGGACTTCCCAGTCAGGTAGCGCCACAGACGCTTGTAACCCGCTGGCCCACTTTTGTTGAT